CAAATGAGCACTTCTTGCCGTTGATCTTCAATTCATTTTGTTGGAGTAACATTAATACTTTTTGCATATGTTGCTTGTGTTCTTCCATAGTCGGGTTGTATATTAGGATATCATCGAAGAATACCAAAACGTATTTTCGGAGTACTGGCCTTAATACTTCATTCATTAATGATTGAAAATAAGAAGGTGCGTTAGTAAGTCCAAATGGAAGTACCATAAATTCATAATGACCTTCACGTGTTCGGAAAGCAGTTTTTGCAATATCCTCTTCCTTCATTCTGATTTGGTGGTATCCGAATCTTAAATCCAGTTTTGAAAAGATGTTGGCCCCTCCTATTTCGTCCAACAACTCTTCAATCACCGGGATATGAAATTTGTCGGGAACCGTGATTTTGTTCAAGGCCCTGTAATCTACACAAAACTGCCAACTATCGTCTTTCTTTCTGACTAGGATGATAGGACTAGAATAAGGACTCGTAGATGGTCGGATGATTCCCGCTTCTAACATTTCCGTAACCAATTTTTCAATTTATATTTTTTGATAGTGAGGATATCTGTATGGTCTTATATTTGGTATTTGTGCTCCTTATTTGAGGTGAATGGCATGGTCTTGACGCCAATGAGGAGGAAGTCCTTCTGGGGGTTCAAAGATGGAAGGGAAATCATGTAGCACATCTTTTAATTCTGACGGGATTGAATCCTTCCAATCTATCTCTGCTTGAATATGACGATAATCGATAAGGAACCCTTTGCCTTGCTGCAAAGCTTTCAACATAGAATTAAGTGAGGCGTCTTTCTTTGAAAGTTTTGGTTCTCCCTTTAAAATCACCTTTCTGCCATTAATCTTAAATCCCAATGTTAGTTGTTCAAAGTTGGCATTAATCTCTCCCAAGCTTCCTAGCCATTCCATGCCTAAAACCACATCCACACCTCTGAGGTCAAACAAGAAGAATTGTTGTTGTACTTGTACTTCTTGCACTTTCAAGGGAACCTTTCGGCATACTCCCTTACATTTGATTTTGTGACCATCGCCGACTTCTACAACGTATGATGGGGTGTCTTCCACCTCTAGTTGTAATTTTTTCACCAGTTCCTTCGAAATTAAGTTGTGGGTGGCGTCGCAGTCTATCAATACTATGACTTTGTTATCATTAATGCTTCCTCAGACCTTCAAGGATCGGCGAGAAGTAAATCCCACAATACTATTCATGGATAATTGGGGGGTTTCTCTAAATTCTGGTTCGGGCTCCTCTTCGGAGTTTTCAACATCATCTTCATCTGTTACTAACATTATCCAAAGTTGTTTATTTCTACATACATGAGAAGTGCTCCATTTTTCTTCGTAACGAAAACATTCTCCTTTCTTCACTTCTCTTGAAGTTCTGCTTCGGTTAATCATTGAAATCCTCTGGGTTGGTTGTTGTTTTCTGGTTTGTTCACAAATACACTGCCCACGAAAGAATTAGAAGGGCCATTACTTTTTCCCCCACCTTTCTGACTAACACCATAAGTAACAGTCTTCGAATAGGATGGACTTCGATACGAGTTGTTGAATTTTGACATTGAGTTAGAAGGCGCATTCGGTCCCCCTTTCCAAATTGCTCTACTTTTTTGTTCAATCATTAATGCCTTCTTGACCATGATTGAAAAAGTGGGTGGTTCGTAGAGTTTAATTTCTGCCTCAATGTCTTCCTTTAGCCCGTTCACAAAAATGTCCTTTAAATGTTCTTCATCGACATTTTTCAGCATGCCTGCAAACTTTTCAAATTGTTCAACGTACTCTTCCACTGTTTCTTCTTGTTTAAGTGCAAGGAGGGCAGCAAAAGGGTTGATAGTGGCTGACGTTTGGAACCTTTCAATAATGGCAAGTTTGAAATCTTCCCATCCAATATCAGAATTGCAATTCTCCCACCATTGGAACCAAGATAGCGCCTTTCCCTCTAGAGCCACCATAGCTGCCTGAATTTTCTCTTCTTCTAGGATGTCTCTCATTTGAAAGAAGCGTTCCAATTTATTTATCCATCCATAAGCATCAGATTCTCCGTCGTATATGGGTATTGCCAATTTTCTCCATCGTTCTGTTTTTCTTTCTCCGGTGTATACCTTAGTTAAATGTTCTCCATTGATGGAACCTTTGGGTGTGCCATCTTCTGACCGCTTGGATAAATTTTCCACCATGGCTTCTAGGCGTGCAAAGCGTGTTTCGAAATGTTGTCGTTCTGCATCTCGGTTTTGTCGGTCCGCCATCAACATTTCCAAAATTCTCTCCACTGTGTCTAGATTTTCGGGATTAGATCGAGTTGTCACCATTGTTGGAAGCAAATCACCTGGACGGTACTTTGATACCAATTGATAAGAACACAAGAATGGAACAGAAATGAAAAGGATGAAAATAGAAATTTATATAGATAATTTTGGAATATTACAACTCAGGTTTTCGAGAGCCTGTCTCTCCTAATTCAAATTCTTCCTAATTTTCCAGAATCCTTTCCTAATTCTGGTTTGCTTCTATTTATACTGTGTTTAATATCTGTTCCTAATTGGTACAATTAATCTGAAGGGTTGTGACTGTTAGATTTGATGTTGTTTGGTTCCAAGGGCTGCATCCTTTTGGATGGGTGTGTCTATTCACCAAGGGTCACGCCCCCTGATTCACATCTCTTGATCCTGCACTTCTTGGACATTGCTGCCTGCGGGTGTAAAACTTGGTGATGGGTGGCCTAGGCTTATCATACTTTCCATGAACCTCACTGGAGAATACATCTATTGGGTACCAGCCAAGCTATAATTGGATGAGTCTACTCTATGCAAAGGATGTGGTCTTGAAGGGTTCTAGGTGGTGTATTGGTAAGGGGATAGGGTGAGGATTTGGCATGATAATTGGATACCTCTCAACCTGGGATTCAAACCTATTGGTCAGGGTCATAGTTGTGTCTTAGATGCTAAAGTGTGTGATCTCATTGATGAGGATCTTGTGTCTTGGAGGAAGGATAAGATCTTGGAGCTATTTTCTTCTTCAGATGATATTTAAATCCTAAGTATTCCTCTATCCTTAAGGCATCCCGAGGACAAGAGGATCTGGCACTTCGAAAAAGATGGTGAATTCTCTATCCGTTCAACTTACCATTCTCTCCAACACTCGAGGTGCACGTTGTCACCAGGTCCCTCTGTTAACCATTTCAAGAAACTTTGGAAGCTCATCTGGCATGCTTCGTTTCTTCCCAAGGTAGGAACTTTTTGTGGCGTTTGGCCAAGAGTTTTCTTCTACTAAGTTTAGACTTCGCGCAAAAGGTATTGACATGGACACTTTTTGCCCCTTTTGTAACTTGGCTCCTGAATCTTTGGAGCACTTGTCCTTGCATTTCCCCTTTGTGAAGGCTACCTTTTTTTGTTCTCAATTGGGATACAAAACCCCTCCAGATATGGAGGTGAATGTTTGGTTGTTGTAGGTGTTAAGGGAGAAAAACAAACTCAAGTCTCAGTTCTTGAGTACAGTTTTATGGAAGATTTGGATCACTAGAAACAAATTGGTGCATAATCAAAAGAAGAGTGACCCTGGTGTGTTTGCGGAGGAGGCTCTACAGTGTGTTCATGAGTGGGAAAATGTCAACCAGGTTCTTAATGTTAATGCAAACCAACGCAACTTGCCCTTGAAGTCGCAAGTGCAAAGAGGCATATTCTTGTTACAGGTTGATACATGGGTGTTTGAAGAAGGTTTTGTTTCTTTTGGCTGCGTGATTAAAGATAACGGTGTTTGAAGAAGGTTTTGTTTCTTTTGGCTGCATGATTAAAGATAGCGACAAGAAGGTGCTTATGACTGCTTCTCACAAGATGACTACGGAAGTTGATCCATGTACTGTTGAGATGTTATCCATCCGTTGGGGCATTCATGTTGCGAAGGATTTGCTGCTTAATAGTATTCTGGTTTAGTTAGAAAATTTAGCAATGTTTTATCATATGATTCAGTAGTTAATATGAATAAGGTTGTATTATTGTTAAAGATACATTATTGATTTCATGTATAATGAAGATATCGCAGCAAGTGTTTATTTTTGACTTGTTTATTAGATTAAAGTATCATAATCATTATGAAAAAACATTTTTAATAAATGGTTCGGTTTTGAAAAAATTATTTTCTAATAATTTGGTACAATTTAGAGTTCCGGAAAAATGGAAACAGTTCAGTTTAGTTCAGAATATTTTATATATTATTTCGATTCGGTTCACTTATCTCATTGAAGTATACCATGAACAGTCTTCATTGTGGGTTGCATAATTGAAGGAGCACATGTATGCCGATTATTAGAATAGTTGCTAAGAATTAAAAATAACTTCACAGTTGAAGAATTGTGCCTTTATGATTTTTTTTTTCCAACAATAACCGAGTATAAGATGAGGGCAAAGATTTTGCTTAAGCATAAACATACCAATTTGAAAATTCTGTGCAATTGTTCAACTTGCATATGCAACAAAATTGAATTTAGAGTTATAACAATTACTATTTTCAGTTGATTCATCTATAAGCCATAAACTGATTAGCATCCATCTACTACTTAAGAAGCAATAGTCAGCCGAATTAATTCCTCTATGTATTTTGTATGAATAAGCTACATTCCTTTTCCACTGTAAAACACCAAATAACAAAAGTTCAACATAAAATCTGAGTATGTTTGCTCAAATTTGGTACTTGTAAGAAATAGCTAGGGTTACTAATTGATGGAGGAAACGTTGTATTATAACTAGATCACCTATCTGTATAATGCACAGTCAGATAAACTTTTCTATTAAAATTTGAAATAATATTTGTATTTTCAATGTGACATCAATTATCAATATTTTCAGTAAAATCACTGAATGATGATATTTGACACCGCTAGAAAGAAAATATGTTGCTCAAGTCCATTTCACATTTTGTCATCGATGGAATTGGGAATTTTCCCTATTTTCCCTATCAATATTGATTGTTTCCTCCTACCTGTAAAAGAAATCATATTTGGCCACTACCGAAAGAGCCTCGGGACCTTTCTCTTAAAGACTTTTCCTTCAAGCTTTAATCGCCTATGTGCTTCTCTCAGATGACATGGCTGGATCGGTCCAGATTCCTTCCTCTCATTCATAATTATTCTGGCTGCAAAGATAGTAGTACCTTCTTTTAATAAACGGAAACAATTCACTGCAACATTTTATCTTGGAAAAACTATATGCACACGAGTATTCACTATGCTATTCATTTTCATTTCTATTTCTAGTAAGGAAAAATGGCATTCTTGTAAATGAAAACTAATCACCTCTTTCCACAACATCACCCACAAACATTTTTGTAATCCCCGATACTACAACTAAAACTGGCTTAGAGATTGACTGGGTCCCAGCGATGGTTGCTAAAACCTGCTTCCACACAACCAAGACAGAAAAGGCAAATTGTGAGCAATCTTGTCTTTACTATAATAGAAATTACTAGTGAAAATTGGAATGCAAAAATGGGAATCTACAATTTAATAAAAGTACATAGTTCAAAAGCAGCATCAATGCACAAACTAACATTAATAAGTTTAGTCCAACTCAATTGGTTCCCCAACTTGTGTCTCCCAAGTCTAAACTTTGTCCAGCTATTTCAAACGCAAATGTATCCTTTCAAGTTTACCTTACACGTGTCTCAAAATCTATCAATAAAGATGCAAATCCAGTAGCTTCACAGGAAAAAGCCCCGTAGTACAACTCCAAATCACCATCCAAAATCAAATTCACTTATGCATTGCAACATGTTTATGCTCAGATTCTTAAATCTTTAGAGATCAATTAAGATCCATTATACATTTGGAGTTGACATTCTTTATAGTTGATAAACACTACTACAAAATAATTTTAGTGAACTAGCAGTTCGATAATTGTTTTGACTATCCATTTACTTGGTCTTAAAACTCATAGAATCTTAGTTAAACTTGGAAGTATATCCGTATAAACATTTTGGCAAGAAAATTATAATATAATTAACATTTTAAAGATTTGCCCCTCAAGCAGTGCAGTGGTAGCACTACTGAGGTATGAGTGTGGATTTCATGCAACGACAACCCTTTCGCCTCCCTATTTATTTATGTAGGTGTATGCCATAATGCTAATAGCAATACAACAAAAAAAACATTCTATAGAAGTCAGTACATGATGCCACTCATGTTTCTAATAAGTTTGTTATTGGTAGTTTAGAAGTGTTACTTATTAGTTAAATAGTTAGTTAGTTAGTCAATGGATAGCTAGTAGTTTTGTTGAGAGGTAGTTAGACCAAATAATGCTGCCTATAAATATGGAAGATGATTAGAGAGGAAATTATCTTGTAGTTTGAAAGTAAAAGGGCCTTTAAGGCAGTGGGAGGTTGGCAATCCGTGAAAGTGCTGTCATCGTTGTAATTAAGGGGGATTCTTCCCCATTATCAGTTATAATATACCAGTTGGTTCTATCAGTTTCATATGAAGACAAGAACATCCCAAGAACGCTCATTTCCTTCAAGGTACTCTTACATTACATCACAATTCAAACCAACTTAAACCAAAAGAAACTTTACGCATTAATTTAACATTGAAACCTCTCCAACTATTACAATTCCCTTGCCATTTAAGAACTTCATCAAGTAAAAATAAAATGCCTAGTATTCACACATGCAAAATCTCATCAATGATTAGTTAAGGGCGCATTAATTCACTATTTGATGCATGAAACACTCCCCACAAGTGCAAAACAGTAAGGGTGATCGCAGCAATTAAGCACCAGCAGTGTCTAGTTTTTGCTATTTCTGAGTACTCAAAGATATGAACACTATAAAAGAGGTACTCAAAATTTTGTTATAAGCATACATAATCAGTATCACAAATTAACATGCATAAACAAAACCAATCAATGATAAATTTCACCAAGATGAACAAAAACTAAAGAATCCAATTCTGAAGCAAACATGAAGTAGAAGTTTCAAAACAATCTAAAAGTGAAAGAAATACCCGTCTCATTGTAGCTTTCTGGAATGCAGCCCTACGGAAAGACTCATATCTACTCATTTGTTCTTCTGTGAATTGGAAAAAAACATTCCTGAGTATTTAAAAAAAAAACAGATAAATAAAACTAGGGTTTATGATACCATATGAAAAGTAAGATGAAAATGGTGAAAATAATAATGAAGTAAGAAATAGTAACTGCAATCTAGCCAATTTGTGAGGATCACCAATAGAAGCAGAATGAAACTTGGCGAATTCAGCATCCATTTCATCATCTTCTTCATCGTATTTTTCTTCTTCATTGTTATTGGTGTTAGTAGGTAGTGAAAGGAAGGGATTGGGAGTGGGGTATGGTTCGGTTTCGATTGGAGAATCCGGTGGTGATGGTGATTCCTCAAACGCTGATTCGAATGGATCCTTTGAAATTGAATGCTTCATTCTCTTGTCTAAATTGTTTGTAAGGGAAACAGAAACTCTCGCTCGCTTATATAAGCTTTGTGGGTGGCTTCTAAGGTACGGCATCAAAATTTGATTTGAAGGGTTATTTAAACGTTGAGTAAGTGGGCCTTATGTGATTCACCGCGCCTTCACTTATCTTTATTATATTTCTGGAAGAGAATTTCTTAATGCACTTTAAATAATTTTTAATTATCATGTAAAATTATTTAAATATTTTTAAATTTTAGAGATGCATCTATTTTTGTATAAATACTAGAATATTTTAAAAATACATTTTCGAAATTATGTTAAACATTCAACACAGCCCACTCAAAAGTCATTTACATTTGAATTGGACCGAAGATGCATCTCCGTGAATATCCCAAAAATGTATCTTCAGAAGGAATATAGCAAAATATGTATTTAATGTTATAAGTTGTTTATCTGTGTTCAGATAAATAAAAAAATAAATGTACAAAATAATAAGAGACTACTATTGTGTGTTGAAAATAAAATAGCAATATATGTAAAAAAAAATGTCGTACAATTGAAATCCAAAATGTAGTAAGACCGTTAAAGTAAAGTACAAAGTATAGTATTACAACAAAATAAAAAGAGACTACTAGTGTGTGTGTCTAACAACATCTCTACCTCCTCGTCCATCAAACCTCCATCCTCCAGCGATGTATCTGGTACAACAATGCCCCTTCTGCCTCCGCCATTATGGCATTTAGGACTCACCTGACACCAGACCCATAAGGGAAGATACCCTCATCAATGCCCACGCAAGAGATCATCAATATGATCTATTTAAGTCTGCTCCTCCTCTAATATCTCATGATGAGTTGGTCTCTGCGGATCTCCTGGAGCAGCATGCACCATGTACGGATGTGACACCCTGAAGAACCATCTCATGTACCCCTCGACGTAGCTCCAATCGCCTGGGGTTGTGGTAGTCTGTGCCTCCTCCAATATCACATGCCTCTCAAAATCATCAAACATCTCCTTTATCTTTGTTGTTTAGATCAATTCGTTTAGAAATCAATTTTTTTATTACGTTTTGAATTACAATTTGTTGTATTAATCATAATTATTTTGATTGTGATTGGTTTTAACATCAACAAATCAAATTAAATTTTCAAGCATTATCGATTGCACTCAAAGTGTTCGATAAACTATTTCAATTAATTTTAATTAAATTTTTTATCATTGGACATAAGCTCTACGTGTAGCTTATCATTTAATTGATTTGTGAATTGATCGTTGTTGAACAATTTGTGTTCATTATCATTCAATTGGTTTACGTTATGCATATCCGAGCTTTTCGATAGTAGAATCGGTTAGACAGTTCGATTTGTGTTGTTTTCACTGTGACATTAAACTTTTGAAAATCATTTTTGCCAAAAGTTAAAATTTTTATTTGTGATCTATTCACCCCCTCTAGATCAACGCATATCGTCTAACATAATGTTGTTTTGCACTGTTAGACGATTTTGACCATAACTTTTTATTTGTATACCCAAATGACATGTCGTTTAAAATGTTAGAAAGCTAACACTCAGACCTATAACATGATAGTTATTAGTGAAATGTTTGATTATTATTCATATGCATACTATGTCGATAAATGTATTGGTTATATGTTTGGTGAATGAGTCATTGAATTGTTGTAATATTATGGTGTGATAATGATATTGTTATGTCGATGATGTTATGATAATGATGTTAAGGTGTTGATGAGATGTTATTTTTTATTGATGTTATTATTGTGGTAACATGAATTGATTGTTGCATGATGAATGATGTGATGTATAAATGGTGAGATGTGTTTGGGGATCCTTTTGGTGAACCTTGTTGTGTTAATGCATGTTATTTGTGAGTCATGCATCATGGTGTACGGGCTTCGGTCTAGTTTTGGTAAGCCTCGATCCTATGGTAATGGATCGCGTGCGAGTAGCTAATTCATATTATGTGGGATTAGTGAAGTGTTACCTATGGTGATGGTAGCGATTTGATGTGCTCCAGTTCTGTCGCAGTGAGAATTGGATAACAAACTATTGATTAACTTGGATCACAAATCATTTTTCACCACCGGTCTTTAATTTGTCCAAGGGAAGGGAAAAAGATAGAATTACCTACAAGTATGCAATGCAATGCAAAGCTAGAGAATCTAAGGTTCGGGGGTCGGTTAAACTTAGGGAAGGTATTAACATCCTAAGCATTTGTAGTACTCTACAGGAACCTCTTGTTTTATATGTGGTATTGTTGTTTGCTAAGGGTGAAAGACCTAGGGGTTTATTTCTAAGTATGCTTGCCAAGAAGTTGCATCTTGTGCCTACGTATCCTGACAGGAATAGAATCAGAGCATTCGTAGTTCCCCTAAAGGGATTAAGGAACCATTGACTACAGTCAAAATTCCAGGAGGGAAAAGGTTTGTTGATTTATTCTAGGAGAAGAGACTAGTCACCATTTTAGGAGAATATTCGACTTAACCACCACAAACGTATGGAATACGGTCTTTGCATCGCATTGAGAGAAGGACTCCAACTCGGATTTGATCGACGAGTATGCCACATACCTCTCTTAAGCGGAAAAGATTCTACATCTTTCTCGATTACGTTATGGGATAGGAGAATCACATCTCGACTACACAGATGAATCACGTCTAATTCTCTTATGGGGAGAATAGAGGATTTAATTAATAAGTTGTCTAAAGTTGCAAACTTTGGGGAAACTTATGTTAAGGTACAAAGATGTAACTAAGCCGATCAACCTGAAAGGAACCAGGGATCGAGCGGGGGAAAATGATGCAAATGAAGATGCAATGTATACAACTTATAAGGCCATATACAGGTTCCTCCCTCGGACATAAACCTATGTAATAATAAAGATTTTAAAAGACCATAAATAATCATATAAGAATAGGCGATCAGTGTAGGATTAAGTAATGATTGATCACAAAGTCGAAATTGAAAAGGGAACCTTTGGCCTAATGTTATCATGCAATAGGATCGAAACTCGAAATTTACTCTCAATTCAAAAGTCAACTATAATCGCAATACTCCAAAGGTCGTGTGACTCAAAAACCAAATGAGCGTATTAACTTTTAAAAAAGAAAAAGGCATGTAAACAAAGTCTTGATTAATTGAAGTTTGAATCCCAAAAACAAATCATCCCTAAAAAATTTGATTTAGTCCCCTAATTCGATTTTAAACTCAAATGTAGATTTAATTTGAAACTAAATGTTCAAAAAAACAAAGAAAAAAATAAATTGGATAAGGATAGCACAAAAGTAAACTTTTTTTTTTGTTAAAACCTTGGGCCTAGTAGTGAGCCCACGAAGCTTTTTTTTTAAAACAAAAAAGAAAAACGACACCAAACCGGGTAATAAATCCAACCCGCCTGGCCCAAACCAACAGAAACATTACTGAAAACGAGCAGAAATACAGGCTGCGAAGAATGCCTAAGAGCATCTTTATTGGGAGTAAACTAAATGGGTAAACTAAGATACTTTTTGTGGGTCCAAAGTGATTTGTAGGATTTAAAAAATTTATAGTTGATTTGAGTAGTTTTTACTTTAATGGTGGTTGTCTATAAGAAAACAAAACTTGACCCCACATGGTATTAAATGGTTAATAAAAATTTATTATTTATTTTAAATAATTAATAAAAATGTATTATTTTTGTTAAATGATGAGTTAGAGTACGTTGCTTGTGTAGAGCACGTAAACTAATTTTAGAGCATCCCATATGCCATGTCAGCACTACTATAATGCAAATTCCTTATTACTAACGTAAGCTATAAAGAATTTTGATTTAACAACTCTGCATTAAAGTTGCTCTAAATTGGGATCCAAAACCCTTCGTCTCCTCCGGTCCTCTCTCACTCTCGTTCTTTCTCTCACCATATCCATCCTCGACGAACCGATTATTCCATAATGATATTTAATTTCAAACAAAATAGGTGATAACTCCACAATGATTAACAAATACGATTTGGCATAGACGAGTTAGAGAAAGCGTTACCGCCAACAAATCAAATGCAAGGAGCTGCGAAATGCTTAGATGAAGGAACCAGAGAGAATAACAACGATGACGGTCTTCTGGTGGCTCCGGCGGAGACTCACACGGCGAACGGAGACGGTGCGGCGGTTCTGAATAAGCGTACGAGTGGGGGTGCTCGCAGTGATTATGTTGTTATCAAGTTCAGTGTTCCAGTCCCCTCTTCTTAGGTGTCTCGCTCCTCTTTATAGTTGCTACATGAGAAGTGGAATCTTGTGTTTTTAAAACCTTTCCATTTTTGAGTCGACATGTCAAAACATGTTCTTTGGGGATGTGATTTCGCTTTAAATCCATTTGATACATATTGGGAAAGAACGATAGCTTTGTCGATATGCTTGATTTGGCATGTTAAATGACGTTGATGTTATTTCCATTCTCAAATTGAACATGTCGGATGTTGTTTGTAACAAAACATTGAATGAGTTTCAATTCACGCAGACGGGTTTGGGAGTGGTTTGAGTATACTTGGAATCCATTTTTTTTATGTGATGGTAAACACAATTTGGCAATGACTTTCTTTCCTTTTGATTCAGGCCTGGTGAATTGAGGAAGACGAAAAGAAGAAAAACTATGTTGCCCGCTCGAACGTGAAGATTGGGGAATGGCAACGAAGCTTTGTGAGACTCGTGTCGGAGTGATCCTAACTTGGAGGATTGTGTTGTGAGTTTACAACGCGGATTAGGGATCAAATTGTTACTAAGTTTATTTTGTTTGCTGCAGGCCTTGGATGTGAAGGTGTATGACCAGGCTACCTTCCCACTCAAAATCCGACATTATTCATAACTATGCAGGTTGTAACACCTCACTCTCCAAAATTAAAATAAAATAAAATAAATAGCAATTAAATCAAGCAATTATCAGAGTTACCACACCAAAGCGGGATATCACAGAAGAAACTCAACAACACACTTCATTAAATGGTTTTTCAACAGTAAATA